CCAACACTAACAATTCTTTGATGTGTTTTACCAGTTAATGTTTGATCCAAAATCTGTAAGCCTCCAAGTGAACCAGAAATGGAAGCATTTATTGCTAAGGTAGCTTGTATACGAGCATCACACATTGTAGCTGTAGCAATTTTCTGACCCACTAAATGATTATCCTGCATCACTGCTCTTAAAAGAAGTACATTTAGTCTATGAAAATCAAAAGTTATTTCTGTTCTAGTTGAAATTTTTAGCTCTATGGTTTGATTAGAGAAAGACTCTTGTTTTTCAATATATCCTGTCTTTATTTTACGAGAAGGAAATATTCTTTTAAAAAATCCCATAAGTTCTACTATGGTTTCTTGATTAGCAATAATATCCAAATTATTAAATTGAATATTGGCTACTCTTAGAGTTTCTAATGTATCATATACCAGAGTCAATTCAATTACAATCAGAGCTTCAGAATCCATTTTATCCAATTCAATTAAAGAATTATTTCTGGGAGATTGAGCATTTTTTGCTTTACTTGCTAGATTAGATAAAGCATTAGTCAAAGCAACAGGAGAAGTCAATCTTCTTGGTATATTAAGATCAGGAGAACCAGGAGAGACTGGAGAAATAGGAGATGTTGGTTCTGAATCTCTTAAACTTCCAGAAATACTATCCATTCCTACATGCTTGTGACTAGCCACTAATAACTCAAAATCAGGACCAAATTCTTGAAGAGCATCAACAAGAAGTAAACCGTGAACAGATAGAGAGATACTAATATCTGCAGTTCTTTTACTGAAAGCAGCACGAACTCCAGAGACTTGTAATTCTGCCACACTACGTCCTCTAGATTGCAATTCAAAAGTCATTTGATCAATGATAAATTGTACCATCATTGCATAACTTAAAGATTTATCTAGACTATCTTCTTTTTTAGGACTCTCTGGTTCCATACTAACCACATCAGTTTGAGAAATACCAGTGGATTTCGTGAAGTTAGATAATAAATTATATATCAGTCTAATTGCTTCCACCTTTTGTTCATTAACATGTACCACTAATCTTGGTAGATTCCCAGATGCAGTTACAGATGGTAAATTCGGATCGGAAGAAGCGAATACTCTTCGTTCAATTTGTAAGGATATATTAAAACGTTCCAAAACATGTAAGCTGGACATCCCTCTAGTTCGTACGTGCTTCCAATTGTCTTTTACCTTTCCTACAAGAATTTGCAAATCTATTAAGTCAATAGAATAATGATCATACAACTTCTGATGCAATGCTGTTTCGGAAATAGCTTGGAAGTCTTGTACAGAACCATTTTCTTGACTTCCAGGTGGTGTAGAGCAAGGTGTCTCAAATCTTTCATCTTCATCGTCGCTATTAAGTTCAGAAGAATTAGATTTAATGATTACTTCATTATTTTGTACATTATTCGATAAATGAAGCTTTCCAAAATCTACGACGACTACTGCAGCATTGGAATCGATAAAATTTTCAACTAATAAAATTTGTGGTGCAGATATATTGAACTGTAAATCCCAGGAAGAACGATACACTAAATCTCCGTCTAAAATCTGTTCCCAGTTTTTGATGAGCTGTCTTCGAGTTCGACGTTTCATTGCTTGAAATCTTTGATTGGAAGATGATCTATGAGGCTTGCATATGAAATCTATAAGCCAATGTATTACTGTAGGATTATAAACTACATCCAAAGACTTAGAGTTAACCTGTAGCAAATGATCAGCATTTAAGTGCAATGGTCTTTTCTCATAAGTCATTTCAAAAAGATATTGAGGTAATTGAGTAGTTAACTTCTCCGCAGAACTTCGTATCCTTGAATTTATTGTAGGAATCATTTGAGGTTGTATCAAAATAGGAAAAGTGGAATTTTCTGTGAGATAGTCATGAAGATATAACGCTCCCAAACTGATGAAAAATTTGTGAGATCCATACCTGGGTCTCGAATCATAACTCAAATTTACTCGTTCGAACTGCAGTTCTATTACTTTCGTGTTTTCACCATTGTTTTTCATAGTACAAAGGGAAAAAATGCCTTTAGACAAAGTAAAATTAAATTGTCCAAATACTGTATCTCGACGTAATAAAGTATCATCATCTATAGTATCTGCCAAAACATCCAAAAGTTCACCATCAAATGTAGAAGATGTGCTCTGAGTATTCGTATTTGAAGTTTTTGAATACCATCCCCACCATTGTGGAAACCATTGTTCCAACATTCCTCTAGGTTGAGGTACGTTTATATTAGAATTTTGAAGTATTTTTGGTGGTTTAATCCTTTGCATTGCTATTTCTCTTAATACTCTCAATTCATCAAAACTTCGTTCTTGTTCTATCTTTTCTTTAAACTGTTTGATATCTGGAGATAAAACATTAGTTGGTGTTCCTACAAAATAACATTGTTTAATATCAAGAAGTAATAACATAATAATCATATAATTTTTATTTAAATACCTAACAATTTAGCATAATTCTCCACATATAAAATATTTTCTTTGCCTTTTTGAAGAATATCTTTCCATGATAGTTTAGGTTTCAAAGCATCTTTGCCAATATGACATCTTATTGCATATTTCCACCACTCTTTTGGTGCAGTGGACACGCTAACTATTGGACGACAGCATCTCTGTTGTTTACGACGTTCTATATCTTTCAAACCTTTTATACATTTAACTATTTGATCATATTGTATCTGATAAAAAATAATTTATTATTAGGTGGATTTTAAATAAAAATCAGATTTGTATATAAATTTTAAACTTACATCAGTAAGACATAGTGGAACATCGTCTAATAAAAGATCGACGACCATTCTAGGTTTATTTGTAGATCTCAATGGTCGTTCAGACCTATCCCTTTTAACATGAGCTCTTGCATTAACAGGCAATAAAATAAGATTTTTTATTATATTTTTTGGTTCACTCATTGCAATCTAAAAATAAAATCAATTTCAAAATTAATAATTAATTTATTTTAATATTTAAAGAAAATAATATATAAGAAAATAAATATATATACAGCTAAATCACCAAGATTGAGAAAACCAAGAAATTCATCTTTTTTTAAATGATTCCAATAAATAGAAAGTCTGTCAAGTTCCATGAGCTTGAAAGAAGCATCTGTGAGATTCCAGGAAGTAGAACCAGGTATCCAACTAGCATCGCAACTTTGTGCAGTTAAAGCTCCAATAGTTATACCAAGTGCAATGCCAGTATCTATTTATTAAAATTATTTTTAATAATATATCTTTTTTTATTAAATATTATATTATATTTTATTTTATTAATATTAAATTTGCTTACTATCTGGCATTGTTACTCCATCTTCATATCTTACATGAACATCTTTAATATTAAGTTGTAAATTTTCAATAATGTTGGTGATTAAGGATGTACCATAATTCACCCAAGAACTATAACTAGTAGCATAATAACCAGGATCTCGTTCTGTATCTGCTCTCCATCTTGCTTCTAATGAATCTAATCGACTTAATTTATACTCTAAAATTGCTTGTTCCTCTGCTTCACTATCAAACTGTGAACATACTTATTTATAATAGATGAAACAAAAAATATTATAAAAAAATAACAATTTATAAATACCTCATTCAAACTAATTGGTCCAGCTACTAGATATAGTTGTTCTATCATTATGACCCATGAAGCTGTTCTTATTTGACGAACTGGTACTTGCAATCTTATTTTACCAATAAATCCTGCTTTTATTTCTACTGGTAACCCAATGTGACGTAAGGCTTCCTTCTTTAATGGTAAATTTTCCAATTCAACTTCACCTAAAATACAATTTTTTTTAAAATTCACGGAAATTTAATTTAAAATTAAATTCAATAATATTTAACAAATAATAAAATCTATAAATAAAACAAAAAATAATTCAAATTATCAATGAGCAAATGATATTTAAATAAAAATCTATTCTTAAGTTTCACTAATATAACTGAAAAGAAAAACATAACCTTACCAGACAATAAAGCAATGCTCAATTGATCAGTATTTAAATTTTCAACATATTTTCCGAGGTAATTATTTAATACCCAAGCAACAAGTCCTTCCAACATTTTGGAAGATTGAACAATTCTTTAATTATAAGAATAAGCTTATATACAGAAGCAGACATAAATATAATTTGTATAGGTTATGTTCGTTGAGTTTCATTCAAATTTTCGAAACTCACGATGTAACAGCAATTAAAAGATCGTACGATCGACAAGGTACAGCTTCTTTCACATAAAAAAAACATTTTTCACGTTCAATCTTTATTTTATGATAAAAATTTTAAGATCAATTAACAAAGCGAGTCATATCAAACAATCCTCATCGATCGTGAATACCATCGTGCCAAATGTTTCAACATCACGAAAAAAATTTTGATTATTTATAATAAAATTTTTTTCTATAATATAAAATTAAACAATGAATTATAGTAATATCAAATTAAAAATTCGAAATTCTTTTAGTGAAAATTTTTTAAATTAGCTAAAATTTTAACGAAGAAATTATTAATTAATTATAATTATAATTTAATAGTAATTAAAATTGAATAAAATTTTTATATATAGAATTGAAAAAATAATTATATTATTATTTATATTTTTCATGCAATTTATATTTAACTAGTTTACTATTTCTGATTTAATTCTTAATGAGAATTATCTGCTATGTAACAAATTTATTTATATATGTATTTATAAATATAAAGAAAAATACTTGTTTCTACTATTTTTTCTTTTTTTCTTTTTGGTTCATTTATTATAAGAGATGTAAAAACATGTTTCAAAGTTATTTATTTGTATCAAAAACAGTATGCAACTTTTAGTACAACTTAATCTTAACTTTAACTTTTTCATCATTTCTTTTGTTTTTTATTATCTTATTAAATAAATATAAATGTCATTATATATTTAAATATAGTTTTTTTTATTAATTTGACTTAAACATATTTTGTTAATAGATTTAATTAAGCATTATTTTTGCCTATTCTTTTTAATGAAATAATGTATTTATGTAACTAATAAATTAATATGTTTTTTAATAATAAATTTATTCAAACTTCGGTTTCGTATCCTCTTTATAATATAGGAATGCCAAAGAGAATAAAAATACACCACCCATCATTGAAAAAGCACTTATGTAATAGGGAAATGCACTAGGTATAAAACGTTCATATTGAGTATGTTGTAGAGGACGGACAGATACTTGAGTAGTACTATATAAATGCGTTAAACCAATACGAGTATAATCTACTTTGAACTGATAAACTCCATAGACATCAGGAATTTTAAATCTCGCTTCATATCGGCCATTACCTACAGGTTTCATAGTCATACGAACAAAAGGATCTATTCTAACGAATTCTAATTGTAGATCATTGGTTTCATAAGGAATCCATTTATCTCCTGCTAATTTCTGAACATCAATAGAATAAACTACATCATCCATAATTGTATAAGCTGCTGGAGGTTCAGATTCTCCTACTCTATGGTGATGAGCAGAGGAAACACGTATCACACCATTTTCCTTGAATACCCAGTGAGCAATCATTGTTGCTACAGCTTCATTTCCAGATTTTAAATATTTTTGACCACCTGTATATTATTTTAATATTATAATATTATAAAAAAATATATATTTAATAATTAAAGAAAGAATTATGACATTTAAGCTGATTTTCTTACCCTGAGCTTTCTGAATAGGACTAGTAAAAGCTTCGTCACTAAAAAAATACAAAGAACCAGAAAATACTACTCTGGCATTATTTCTAGCTTGCAGAGCTGTAATTAATAATGTATTTTTGCCTACTGCATGAGGATACTCTTTTATAGAATTCTGTGGATTATATGAATATGCTGAACTAGATGCTGTTAATAAACGTAAAATTAAAGGATTTTCTATATCTGCAATCAATCCAGTTCCTTGGTAAAGTAAGAATTTATGTTTTTACTTCCAACAATTGCAGGAGCATCTATCAAATTGGCAGGGTCTGCCACTATTTTTGTATGATAACCATTATCAGAAACATCATAGTTTAAGTGATCAATGACTGCAGAACCTTCTTCATCAATTTCGAAACCACATTCTGATGCTAATTCATGTAGAGCATCTCCTGATTGAGATGAACCAGCAACTAAGACATTACCACCACCATCAATGAAATCTGTTATTGTTTCAACACTTAATGCTCCTCCAAATTCTTCTACAGAAGGAGCAAATATTATTAAATGTTGATATAAATATTCTCCATATTTAGAAAGCTGCAGATTAGCATCATCTGCTAATTTAAATGTTAATATATACCCATTATCTATAAAAAAAATTGAAAAGATTATTTTAACTAATATAACATTTTTATAAACTACACTACTATTATTAATAATATGATATTATCAAGTATAATCATTATAACTCGAAAAACATATGAAGCAATTGATAATACTAGTTATTTTATTAAATAAAAGAATTTTTAATCAATTTTTCATTATATGTTTTTCAAAAATATTTTTTTTAACATTTAAGTAAACATATAAGTATTGCAAATGAAAAAAACAATATAAATGCTTTTTATTATTTATCTATGGATTTTTATTAATAAATTTTATTAATATTTTTTTTATTATAATTATCTATAGATAATTAAATAATAAAATAATACAAATTCTTATTATTTATCTATCTATTTATTTATAGAATTATGAAATTAACATGTTTAAAAGTAACAGCTACTTCATTTCGATAATGTAATAGTTTCAATGCGATTTGAAATCTTTTGCAATGATAAGTTATATTTATTCACTGTACTGATTTTTTCATTTACAATATCTAGTCTATCTTATATTTAATATTTGTTAAAACTCTTTTTAATATTAATTTCTGAACATATAGTGAAAAATTTAACTAACTGATTTTGATTTTGAATTTATTAGAAACTTTTGCAGTATTGAAGTTGAATATTTACATACCTTGCAATGTCTTAAAAAATATGGAATGCGTTTCTCTTATGGCTAAATTATCTAACAAAACGAGTGTCGGTCCTCCAGCATTCGCTATTTCAAATATCGTAACAAGATAGAGAAATTTATTTATAAATCTCATCATCGTAATATTATTCCACGAGACCGGTTTTCCTATCTTAAAGAAGCGGGTTCACATACACGTAGCCAAAACGGAAGTTATTCACTTTGCGGAAATGACATACTTCAACCCTATGAATCAAATTTACCATAGTATCGATATTTGATCAAAGTGTTTTGTAAAAAAAAGATAAAGAGATATTATCTTTAGTGCATTGATATTTTGATTATATATTTATAAAAGTGATCAATTAATTCAAATTGTATGACATCATATAGTACAGAATTATTTTCAAGCTATGATTCTTTATAAAATAGCCTTGAATTGCAAACAATCATATTAGGTTAATGACATTGACAAAAAGAAAAATTTGTTTACATTTACAGAAATGATTTAACTAATAGTTTCTTATAATATCATGCGAATATAGTGATTATTGTTACGCATGCTCGAACGCGTTTTAAATGTCAAAACCGTGCGAATTTATCCACATTTATTTGCATCGAGAATCGCTGAGATTTTCCTGACAGTTTCGTATAAGTTATGTCCTTGTTGCGTGCCTCGCACGATTATCAGAGTGGTATGGCTAAACCGTATTACAAATTGAGAACTTCTCTTTTCGGACACACATCCGATGTGAGAGCTGTAGCAACATTTGCCGACGGAACTATAGTTTCTACTTCCCGGGATGAAACTGCACGTATTTGGAAATCATGCGGGTATTTAACCTATTCGAAGATTGTATTAAAATTAAAAAAAAATTCTTCATTTATTCTATATTTATAAGTTATATATTTTACACGATTATAAAAGCAATATTATTATTTTGCAGAAATGATAAAGATTATGAGCACACTGCAACTTTAAAAGGACACTCAAATTTTGTCACCTCTGTATGTGTTATAAATCCTTCTGAGCAAAATCCTACAGGTTTTATTATTACTGGTAGTCATGATAAGACTATACGTATTTATATTTCGGACCAAGCAGAGCCCATAAACATTATAAAAAGTCATCAGGATACTGTTTGTAAATTGACAACTGGTACAAAGGAAGGAACATTTTTATCAAGTTCCTGGGATATGAGTGCTAAATTGTGGAATTTAAGTGATTTAAGTAAACCACAATTAAATTTACTAGGCCATACAGCTGCTGTATGGTGTGTGGCAGATTTATTGAGTGGATACATTATAACTGGATCTGCAGATAAGCTGGTTATAATATGGACAAGCGATGGTTCCATACATCATAAATTGATTGGGCATACTGATTGTGTTCGTGATATATCTGCAATAAGTAATAACGAATTTTTAACTTGTGCTAATGATGCTACTGTACGTCATTGGAATGTGTCCCTTGGAACTTGTTTAGGAACTTATTGTGGACATGAGAATTATATCTATAGCATTTTAGCTTTAGAAAATGGTACAAGCATATTTACTTGTAGTGAAGATCGGACACTTAGGATATGGCATAATAGTGAACTAAGTCAAACTATTACTTTGCCCACTCAATCTGTATGGTGTTTGGCTTTACTTCCTAATGGTGATATAGTTACTGGAAGCTCTGATGGAGTTGTTAGGATATTTTCATGTAATCCTGAACGCTATGCAGATTCAGAGACATTGCAAGAATTTGAACAGCAAGTAGCTAGTGTTAAACTTAATGCTCAACAAGAATTAGGTGGGATCAAAGTTAAGGAGTAAGTCAAATAGTTAGGAATTTAAATTATAATAACATATAAGTATTAAATTATATAATAAATTATAAATAATTTTAATTTACAGTTTACCAGATGCCAAAGCTTTGCTGCAACCTGGACAGAGAGATGGTCAAACTAAAATAATTAATGATGGAGATGCTATAAGAGCCTATAGCTGGTCACAAAATGAACAGAGATGGATAAAGATTGGAAATGTTATGGGTGCATCAGGTGGTAGTGTAGCTACATCTGGAAAACAGCTTTATAATGGCATAGAGTATGATTATGTGTTTTCAGTGGATATACAAGATGGTATTCCTCCATTAAAATTACCTTATAATAATGATCAGGATCCTTGGCATGTTGCCCAGAAGTTCCTTCATGATAATGGTCTTAGTCAATTGTTTCTAGATCAGGTATAAAACTTGAGAATTAAATATTTATTTTTTAATGACAAATAAATTTAATGGCAATTTATTTTTATTTATAGGTTGCAAATTTTATAATAAAAAATTCTGAATCCGCACCAGTTTTGAAAACTGATGCTCAATATGCTGATCCTTTCACAGGAGGCAGTAGGTACATTCCTCAGTCGACAACAAATACAGCTTCGCACGAATTCACGAGATCAACAGCATCAAATTCTTCAGACGCATCTGTACCTTCTTATATACCTCATACAAAATACTTAAAATTGGAACAAGCTAATCTTTCTCAAATTTTAGGTATTCATATTTCTTATATTGCTTTTATTCTATTGCATTTATAATAGTAGAATTAATTAACGAATTGTTTAAAATATTTTTTTATAGAAAAAATAAAAGAATTAAATACTAAACAAAATGATCCTTTTAAAGTACCAAATGATAAATTGGAGTCCTTAGTGAAACTCGCTGGTGATCAAGCTTCTGAGCAATTAAAAACTGATGCTTTAAGCACTTTGAAAATACTTTTAAACTGGTCAGACGATATATTGTTTCCTGTGCTCGACATTACTAGGCTTGCAGTACTTTGCAGAGAAGTCAATGATATATTATGTACAGAAGAACTCTTGCAAATTGTAAAAAAGCACATCAAGCCTGATGCACTTCCTTCTAACCAAATGCTCACTTTTCGTTTATTGGCAAACATGTTCAGTCACGAAAAAGGTGAAAAACTATGTCTTAATTGCAAAGATGAAATATTAAAGCTTTTATCGGAGTTAGAATCTCTTACAAATAAAAATAATCAGGTATGAATAATAAATAAATAAATAAAAAAATGTATATCATTTAAAAGTTTGAAAGTATGAATAATTAATACAATACGAAATTACATTTACATATTTTCAGGTAGCAATTTCAACTTATATATTGAATTTAACTGTAGCTCTGAATAAATACAATGATACCCTTGGTAAAATAGAATGTCTGAATGCAATGTTTTCATTATTACCACGTCTAAATGAATCTGAAGCAGTATTCAGAACTCTCGTTGCATTAGGAACGCTTTTGAGTACGACGTCAAATTCAGAAGATCGAAATAATTTAATAAAAGCAGTACGACAATCAGAAGTTGCATTGAACATACTTTATACTATATCAGAAACAACAATTCCAACAGATAAACTGGCAAATTGTTCAAAACAGATAATCAGTTTAATTATTTAAATATATAAAATATAGAAAAAATTAAAAAAACAATGGAACTCAAAACTCAAACTATAAAGTGTTGTAATTAACGAATATATTCACCAATATTACGTTAAATAGGTTTCTTATATTTTTTGCAATCTGATGGTTTAAACATTATAATTATCTCATTGCTAATAAAAGTACATTTTGCCATAATTGAGAAACAATCTTTGTTTATCAAAAAAACATGTACATTTCTTTTTATCCTTTTCCTTTTATATGTAAAGTCAGTTGTTTTAGTTTCAATTTAGATAAGATAATCTGTGTATTTTAAAATGAAAATTAATTAAAATATATGTACAACAATGAATATAAAATAATAATTTATGTAATATACATGTAATGTAATTAAATCTTTCGAGCACTTGCCCGACAAACATATAACAGACAACAAGTGTAATAGTAGAATTGTTATTACATTAACGTCAAACACACACACGCACGCATACACACACACACAACATGTATACCAATTCACTCTCGCGAGTAAGTCAAGAGTTGGTCAAGTAACCAGATTTCGTAGTTAATTACAATGAAAAATAATAACATTCACTGTGTACACTCATTAACTTCAATTATCTTCGATGAACAATACATACATGAAAGATAATTATTTTATTCTTTGTTTTCTTTTTATAGTATCATCAGGTCATTGGCTCGTGGGAATGTGAATATGTAATTTCTGTTTTCTTTTTTCTTTCTTTGCTTTTTTCTTACAAAAATAATTTGAAATATATAATCTGAGATCTGTAAGATAATAGAAACAGTGTTGGATCGTACAATTAAGAATTTTTTAGTGTATTTCAAATTGCTATGCATTACCATATGTATATCTATGATTAATTAATAGTTTCTTTTTCTTTTCATTTTGTACCAACGCTGAGGATTAAAATCATAATATATAATTACTATGAAGAATTTTTTGTCAGAATTCTGAAATATATGAGTATGATTTCAATAGTTTTTTTTTTAAGCAAAATAAATTTTTTTATTTCAGAATAAAAGATTCGCGGAATGCCCTATAAAAATGCACTGATCCATAAAGATGTGTCTTGAATTAATAATCAAGATTAAATACTTGGAAGAGGGATAAACAGAGATAAAGAACATACACATAAAATTACAAATCTTTTAAAAAGATAGATTTGCATAGGAAATATGTATTCCTTATTAAGATAAGTCACATTTGTGGATTTGAAAAATCATGTCAAAAATTATGTTCAAATAGTATTAATTTGTAGCCTTTAAATATATATTTTTTTATTCTTTCTATTATAATAATCTAAACTGCTGAGATTTCTCAATTTTTTGTACCTCTTATTTAAAGTATGTTTTTTTATCAAGCAGTTATTCATTATTGTTTTTAATTCAATTATTTATGATTGCCTGTTTTACGATTTGTATTTCATTTCATTTCATTTCGAATAAGCATTGTTCGCAATAAAATCAAACACAGCCTCGATAATTGAAGGGTTCAGGGAACAAGTATTAAAAATATAAACATCTCATACATATAAAAATGTATCTTAGCAATAGATCAAGCCAAAAAAAATGTCTTTAAATACTATTGAAAAAAGAATCTTAAATTTTTATCTAATAATTCAGATATTATAATTATCTGTAAGAAAGTACAGATTTAAATTTATAAAATACTTTCAATGTTTAACATCATATATCACGACAACTTAGAAAAGAGTTATAGAATTCTTTTTAGCAGTCATATCTATTTTTTTTTCCTAAATTACAATAAGATTTAAATCTGATTTAGAATTTTAACTTTATTAAATTAAAATAATCTTTTGAAAAGTAACTCATCACTTATGTTTTTTAATCATTTTTTTTTGTTTTTTTTTCTTTCTACAATATAGAATTATGGTTTGCAAAATCTTATCAAAAACAATTTCTGTTATTCAATTAATAGAAAAATATTAGAAAGACTATTTTAATAATATTTCATAATTCAAGCCTTTTTCGTCGTATTAATATATAATTAACATATATATATTATCACAAAAATTTAAAATCTTATTTGTTGTACGAATAGTGAATTTTTTATTAATTTTCACTTTGGAATTAGTTATTAATAATAATTTAATTAACAATGAAACAGTTCTTGAGTTAACTGTAAATTTTTGTTTAAAAATTTTTATATTTTTTAACTGATTCTAAATTTTTAATCGTAGTATATTTATAATCATAATTTATCGCAATCATAGCAACATATCTTTTTTCCACAGAAATGTGAACTTCCCGCACCCTTCAATTAGGGCTTCTCTTTACTACTTTTTGCTATGGCAGCATACTAGGAGGGACCTAAAATTTATATTGG